ACTCAAGCTGTTAGAGCGACTGCTCTCTCAGCTGCTCTCTGGCTCGTGTTAATATTTTTTTACGTTCACGGTTAATGCAGTTTTCATTCAAATTTTTTTTTTTTCATCATAACGAGCGTTAAAAAAGCAACGCGTCGAATCTTTTAATTATTTTTTAAAGCATTAGTACATTTATAAGAATTAAAAAAAAATAAAATAAATAAATTCAACTAACAATTATGTATTTCAATGTCAAGCGATAGGAACTACAACGAATGTGGTGGAAAAACACGCCCACATGATTACATTATGTTCACTAGCGATGAATCATTTAATCGTTATACAATCGTCAAAGTGAGGATTATTTTATATTTTTACATCCATCATTATTTTGAGAACAAATAAATAAAACACAAATTTCAAGGCAATGTTGGCTGTACAAAGTCAAACAGAAGCGCTACACAACAGCACAGCTGGCACCAACCGTTCGAAAAACCGGGCCACACGAAAAATGCGAATCGAAAAGAGTCCTAATCCGCCTCGTACTTTGTAGCCAGCGCAACAGAGATAGTTTTAGCACTCAATTTAGTCCCTTGAGCGACAATTTTCAGTTATGAACATTAAAATTCTACTCTTGCGCGCAGAGTCGATCGTTCCACCTTATATATAGGATACCTTTACCACGCTACATTGTAAATATACTATTGGAGTCCATAATGTCGATATATCAAATTCGTTGTAAGTATATATGTATATATATATATACCGCCGTCAACAGAGAGCAGAAGAGAACATCAAGTAAGTATTCACATACATAGGCATAGAGTCGTCTGCTACTACAATGTATATTGTACATATACATATAAATATGGCAAGAAAAAAAGGATGTTATACTTTAATTTTTAATGTACACAAAAGTAAATATGAGGGGAGCATTAACGCCAGGAGCCAGGACGAGTTAGCTGTTCCCTAACCTAACTGATTCATCGATAAAACAAGAGGTAATATTTATGTAATAAATAATAATGCACTTGTAGTACATAATATCAGTAGCCCACTTTAAAAAGAAGGGTAAAGGTCAGCGGCCTCGATACGAGAGCCTTCGTAACCCAATATATAGGTCGTAGGTACACAGGTAGCTCCAGAGAGGAGAGAGAGAAGCGTCGCTCCCTTGGGAGGAGTGAGAGAAAAAGACAGCAAAGCTTATATACTACATCACATCACACCCACCTGCTCCGTGCCGTAAGGGGTTCCGCTCGTCCCAGCCACCACCACCACCACCTCCTGCTCCTTCCGGTCTCCCTCAGCTCCTCTTCCTCTTCTTCTTCCTTGACGTCGTCGTCGTCGTCGTCTTGGTCTTCGTTTTCGGTTGCGTGTCACCTGTACGATGGCATGTACGTATAATACAGTTGTACGTAATTGTCCGGGCCCTCTCGACGCGATCACGCAAAATACAGCCTCTGATAGCCACCTGCCGTTTTTATCAAGTGCGCGACTCCTTCGTTAATTTGTTGTTAATGCCTCTGTTTCGTGTAATTCAGCATGTATATTTTCACTCGGAGGTGCCGGGTGGTCGTCGTCTGCTATAGGCTCACTCTCTCGGGCTCGTCCTTGTCTCGATATAGTTATATGTAACACGCATCACACTCTCCGATGATGGAAACCGGCTCCGCCCGAAACTTATTCGTAAAAATGCCGGTGGTCTTTCATGTATACAGCCCGTATAATGTGGTTGCTGTGCTCCGTTAACGATTTACACGAGCTACGCAACAATCCAATGTCACCCGTCTGTTTTTTCTTTGGAGTACAACATCGGTCGGATTCTCGCGCTTATAAACTTTCAAAATCTCGGGTGTTGTAACCCTTGTTGTAATTCCGCACTCGAAGCACAAGCAGTAAGTATTTTTTTTTTTTTTTTTTTTTTTTTCCTTTTGTCGCCGGTTCGGAGGACAAACAATAACAAATGAGTCCACCGAGCACTTCAACAACGAAACTAACTGAAACGAATGCTATAAAATACGACTCGCGAGTGCGCGAGTTACAAAAGCCAACGAGGGAGAGAGAGCCGAAATATACCAGCCAAGCGGTTCTCCGAGGATCGGAGCAGCTGCAGGGCGGAATTTTTATTTGCTGAAAAAGCAACGACGTCGCTCTCGATGGCGGTACTGCCAGGTGGTCACGCTCGACTGCCCGACTGCCCGACGACGTGCCTACTGATCGCGGTCTCCGCCTTTTAGCGCTGCGATTTTAGCGGCGGCTCCCTCCCTCTGCCTCTCTGTGCGCGCGCGTCTTCGTAAGGCTCTATGGTGGTGGTGGTGGAGGATGCGTCATGTATATATAGTGGCCTGTGATTTACAAAAATCGAACACGAACGCGTTTGATGGTCGAAAAATTTTTTTTTTCTTATTTTCCAATTTAGTTTTGCATTTTTAACGCAACGTTAGAGTTGATTGAGAAAACTAAACGGCGCATATGTGTGTATTCATTTTCCCAACCTCGACCCCAACTTGGTTGATGACAAATGCATTAGGTTGACCGCTAAAATTTGCCTTGCATTCAGTATTTTCGACTTTCAAGATCACCTTTCGTTGTGTAATTACCTCCACTGCTGTAAATCGCACTCAAAGCTTTCGGGAGTACTTGCACCGATTTTGTTTATTCGTGGACAAGTACCAGCATTGGAATGCTATAGTGTTATCGATTGATTGACCTCTGGTCTTCTTGGAAAGGATAGTCGATCCATCATCTTTTTCGAGGCACACGATCGTTACGTTTCAAAAGTGCCTTAATTAAAAAACCAAAAAAAAAAAAAAAAACAATCTTTGTCGAATTACAACAGAGCCGGACTCTGGCTTTTGTAGACTGAGCGCAATCACCGATGCTCATTATTTTCTCATCCAAGGTCACAGGCGAAAATAATAGCAGTGCCTTTTCTTTTCCCTTGGGATTACTTGGCGGGTCGAAAAAAAACGTGTCCGCGAAAGGTATTTTTTGGTCTGCTGTCATCGCCGCCCGCACCGATTGAATACTCACGATTCATCACATACTTTTTTCATTCGAATGTTTTATACGTTCACCAGAACTCGCACACCATTAAAAAAAAAAAAAAAAAAAAAAAAAAGAAGCAATTTGAGGGTTTTTTTCCGCGTTCTCGAAAATGTTTACTGTCCAACCCTAACTTTTATTGAGTGCAATTCTCACCTGATAAATTTTAAATGGCACCAGAACATTGATACATGTGGGTCATTACATCTTTTACTGGGGACGTACGACCGTTTCCTTTGTCCACGAAAAAAAGGGATTTTACCCAAAGTATCGGTAGTAAAATTGCCTCTTATCTCCAAGGGTCCAATGATCTATTCATGTTGGCGTGTATTGCCTCGGTACAAAGCAAACCCGCCCCGTTTACCCGTGGGCCCTAAAAGTATTATCGTCCTTTCGAAAATCACACCACAAAGTGATGATAACAAAATGTTTACAACCCCCGTGAATCAGCATAAACCTCAATATACCTGTCCTCTTCGACATCGGCCCCACCAATGGAATATTCATCCATAGCCGAGCTCACTTTCCGAGAGATTAGTAATTGAATCAGCGGATAAGACTTTGGTAAATCCTACACGTGTCTTACAATGTTTCATAAGAAAACCCCCACGAAAAGTAACGATTTAACGTCATCAGAGCTTGCACTATAAATGAAAATGAAAAAATTGGTATAAACCACTCGGCACAACTCTTAGCCTCGTCTCCTGTGGCCCAGCTGTGCGAATTTCCTCTAGTCGATCAATCCTCCCCCTATATATATATATACGCGCCCTATAGGCCGTACCAGCCACCCACGTAAACCATATATATACGTATACGATTTACCCAGATAATATTATGGAAGCGTCGGAGCCATAGTGCGCACGCGTGTATACCTGGACGAGCCCTCTCCAGAGCAGAGAGTATTCGCAGGGGAGAAGAAGGACCATTGTACACAAGGAGGGTGTTGTGTATTATACGAGTTGGGCTGATAAATATACCCCAGGGTTTGCCAGATATATATATATGTATGTTTTTTCACTTGGAGGTGATGTTTTTGAAGCTATTGAGACGCACCCATATTATATACATGGAAATAAATGTTTCACCATCAGTTGTGTCGATGCAACGTGTTATCTGCCTTTATTTTTCATGACTATAGGTGTGCCGATCGTGCCCCGAAGACGCTCCAGCTGGAATCGTTTCCGCGAAAACCTAGCGAGGACACACAATTCATATTTTTTTTTTTTTTCCTTCCCAATTTCGGCCGAAAGGTAAATTACTCATGTAAGTGGGCCACGCACGAATTGCGATTCGTGGCACGGTGTGGACATTTTTTTTTTCGGCTCTCGATATTACAAAGGAACGTACGGATGGTTCATAAAATTTTCTGCAACAAAAAAAACTAGGGCAATAGTAAAGGAGTAGAATACAAATGCAGAATGGGTATAAATCGATGATTTGGGGGGAAGTTCATCACACGGGAAGGAATAGGCAAGTGGCAATGATTAACTTTGATTAATTGTAGATATTTTTCGCAGAAACAATGGCTAGCCGCACTCTCGACTGCAGCATACGAGAATAACTTTCGCGAGGAGTAGCTGGGATATGGAAAAGTTCCGTCGTAGGAGCCGTGGAGATTTTATACCGCAGCTGTAGAGCTAAATGGGTTGGGATGTGTTTTCTTGTTGGTATACACATCGTGTATGCGAGATGATGGTTTTTGAGAATCGATGAAGACCTTTTTTTTTTTAATTTTAAAGAAAAAATTTTACCTTGAAAAATACAAAAGACGTACAACAATAGAATGGATTTCCGGCTTCGGGACGTGAAAAAAAAGCTTGAATGGTCGAAGCTAATGAAACGGCCAACTCGAACAACTAATCCGCGGACTGAGCGATGTGGTATATATATACCTACTTAGCGTGCAAATTGGGCGGTCGTTATATATTTTTTGCTAACAATGTTGTCAGCGTTATTCAAAGTTAATCACACACATGGTATATACGTGCAGATTTACATAGAGAACGGTGTGCACTTGGGTCGTGTGCATAAATCTATGTGGTTTTTTTTTTTTTTTTTTTTTTGAGCTCATTTTCGCCCTCACTTTTGCCAACTGACCCAAAGCCCGTACAAACCTTTTCGGTTTCAACGTGAGGTATGCGCGCGTGTGTTTTAATTTTACTTCCGACCCCGTTTACTTCGCGCAAACATCGCGAGGAAGCGAAATATTAACAACAACACACGCGCTTACTCGAAACGGCTAAGGGAGCTTTTGTAAATAAAGCCATTTTTTTTTTTTTTTTTTCAACAAGCGCATCGCTCACTTTTTTGTCTTTGCAAACATCCTTCGATGTCTCGAAATGAGGTATCGGTCGGTTATACGCGATCCGTACATTATACAGAGTACCGACTCCGATTAGCGTACGAGTATCAGCTCACGCGGAATTCGATGTGTACGTATCCCGAATTGGTCGCTGAGTGAAGTGAGGTATACATGTATACATGTAGGTGTGCCATACCGTGGCTAATATACATACGTCATGTGCGTATAATATGATATTCACAGATGGACGAAAGAGTGAAATCGCTCGATTGTACGGATTATTGCGTCAGGCGGTATAGGTATGGGTATAATATGTGTATACACGTGTTACGTGAATTATATCACACGCTGTTACTCCAAACTGATTGGAATATAATATATATGTATACAACGCATGTGCTCTCCAACTTCCCTTTCATTAGGTGTATACACACGTTGGATACATTTATAATTACATCCACCCAATGGCCTACTTAGCTCTTGTCCGTTACCCTCCCGCTTGTATCGGCACTAGAGCGTATGCATATATAAGAGGCGAAAATTCCATGGATTTTCCAGAACTTACTTGCTTACATGTAGACCGATTTTTCTCTCTCGCGTTGAAGGCTTACACGTGGCACACTCTGTGACCGATGCATATGGCCAATTTGTAGTTTGCCAGCAGCGTGTATGGCCAAAATTCTTGTTTTTTCTGTTTCAAAGTTAAATCACTGCAGAAACATCGTTGTACGTAACGCTGCTGATGCGAGTGGCAAATTTTTTTGGGCAGGCACTTTGAGTCGAGAGAAAGAAAAAATTCTTTGACTCTTATGTATTTTTTACTACAGCTGCATCACCTTAAATATCGAGATTTTTTGGTGAAAATTAGAATTACATTGTATTGTACAAGGCTTCGTAACCTGTTACGTCCCATGCGTATAGTAAACTGTGGAAAAAAAACTAACGATTACAAACAACGAGAACAGAAAAAAAAAAAAAAAAATCTCACGTAAACTTTGATGAAAAAGTAAGTTGTAGGTGTACAATTGCAAATTGATAGATATACGCCTGGAGAAGTTTCTCCGGTGGAAACCCTATAACGCAGCCGACCGACGGGTGAAATCGGATAAAACCCTGCTAATCCGGTTTCACGCAGACCCGCATATTATTTTATCCCCGGACTAATGCGGTAAATATTTTGCCCCCCCCCCCCCCCAAGTGCTGATGGCTTTTCAAACTAAATTCAAAATTCAACCCAATCTGCATAATTTACGTTTTAGTACTGCTTGCAGTTGTTGTGGAAATTTGCCGATTTTTTCTTTTTCTCGCAGGCCCCTTTGACGTATCATTTTGTTTAGCAGTTATACAACTACCGCGAAACTCTGGTTTTTTTCCATTTTAATAGGATTTCTTTTCCCGGCAGTATACGCGTATCCGATGCAAAAAAAAAAAAAAAAAAAAAAAAAGTGAAGACAGCCCCTACGCCGATTCACCGAAGCGGCTGATTCGATTGTTGTTTCGTCGGCTTTTTTCCATGGCACGGTAACGAGAAAAAAACATTTTTTTTTTTTTTTTTTTTCATCACCAGTCAATAGCGTTTTTGCACGTTCTTATCGGCCGCCGCATGGAAACTTCAAAATGCGCGCGTCGTAAACAACAAAGCGAGTTTTTTTCCTTCCGGGAACCCATACCGCGGAATTCGTGTGTTCCCGTGAATCCCACTTACTATGCGTTGGCCGAGTAATGTTGGCCCTCGGCGTTAAATAAATTTATTTCGATGCGCACGATGTTTTTTTTTTTTTTTTCTAAGTTCAGTGACGTGTGTAGCTGCGGCTTCATTGATTTTCATGAGTTTTGAAAAATTCATGCA